CAACCGCGCGAGACGAGCGAGTGAAAATAGTTGCACAGTGCGAGCACGGACTTGATCCTCCTTGAGTCTTTTCTACCAGCTCTAGCTCAGCCCAAGTGGAAGGTACACCGATACCGATTGTCTCAGGGAGGGTGAGTAAATTCGTATAAATCGTTATATCGCTTTCCGCAGCGTAAAAGAGTTCGTGCAGCTCGTTATGTAACGATCTGAAGTCTGTTTTTTATTTAATTAAGCTAGCGTACACGTTCTGTATTTAAAGTGAAAGATTACAGATCGATATTTGTTTGATACTTGGCAAAAGCGAGAAGGAAAGTTCAGATGCGGTCCAATGCAGCAATAAAAAAAAAACAAACTTTTAAACGCGGAAGTAGATGTATAACACGTCATCGCGAACCATGGACAGGAACCGTCTGCCCCGCTAGCGATTGAAAGGTGCTGCGTAGTCGCGAGGGATCGATTGGAGCGCGCGACGCGTGTTGACGTCGTTGACGTCGTCGTCGTCGCCGCTGTTGTCATTGTTGTCGACGGCGGCGCAACTATATATTTTTAGGATATAGTTTCTTCGAGGGTATTCCCGGCCCGACGATTTTGCGTCGCACCGATGCGCGCGAGTGCAGGGTCGCAATTAGGTGCGCAAGTTACGATATACCGCACCGTGCTGCGCCGCCGTCGCCGCCGCCGCCGCCGCCGCCGTCCGCAACCGCATGATGCAACCCGCGTCGATCTGCCGAGACTCGAGTCGGAGTAGTCACATGCGCCCGAACACCAAACAGCGAACGTTACGTAACTAGTCGGCCTAGTCTACTAGTCGGACTGTAGCTTTTCCTGCAGTGCGCCTTGTCCGCCCACCGATAAGCCTTGGAAGAACAAAAAAATGTCCAAGTCAGTTATATCGGAAACAACAAGCTGTTTGCTTTTCTTGATACAATCGAGCTAACGTGTAATTACCAAAGAAAGCACGGAAAGATAAGATAAGTTGCATATAGGAAGTTGCCTGACGTAACATTTTGGAGCACCGATGCGCTCGGAGATGACTAAGCATAATAGCGCTCGAAATATATCGTAAATCAAGATAGACACCATATTTTATTGAAAGACAACTAGCTTTAAATTCACTAAATGGATACGGGAAAGGAGGAATGCAAAATTTATCGAACGTTTTACATATGCCACAGATGTAATCTTATAATCCATAAGGATCTGTCCCTCGGTTTATAATACGATATTATCGTGATGAATTACTATTTCGCTTATATTGCTTAGCGATATGAAGATTGGAATGGATGTAGACCGATACTAGTTATCAGATTATACGTACAAACATTATAACTTTCTCGGAATTACGTGTCAACGCAACGTCTGGAAACCAACCATTTACTAAATCGACCTATTTAATCGTACCGTCTGTACTAAAGAATTTTAATGATTTAGTAAAAGGCTAGTAAATATATTTATTTATATATTTAATAAACTCTAATGCAACGTCAAGTTGATCGATTGTTATTTGTTATTTTATATTATTAATATTAATCCAATAATCATTTAATATTAATATTAAATTAATGTATTTATATTTATGTTATTACTGATATTACACTAGTATTATTATTATTATTATTATTGTTAATTGGATTGTATCAAATTGTGTTTATTAATCAATGCGATTACCTATTTTAGGCTTCCAAAATCCCTCCCATCTACGAACGTCCAACAACCAGCAACATTTCAGTTGAGGAAGGAGGTGTTATTAACGTAAGTACTGTTCCGGTTCTGAGAAAAGATCCGGGACAGTGAAACATCGCGTTCTGGACCTGGACCTGGACAATCGGATATTGATGGGAAGATGCAAACGTTTCAGGTATCAAAATCATGCAACCGTCAGCAGCTTCCGTCATCTGTTACTCGTGGCGTGAGATCGCGGCCACTGGGAGATGCCACCTCGATGAAGGTGGATACAGTTCCTCTGCTAAGCCCGACGATGGAGTCCGAGCTTTTGAAGGAGCCCTGGGTATTCCCGCGCACAAAGGCAAATCTTACGAAAGAAGAGGACCCCGTGGCACTTTCCGCCTGGGAAGAGGACTTTCAGGATCTGAGCAGTTGGTGCATGGATACGTTCCAGGGTCAATGCGATTTTCATATAGGTGAATCGGCTACGTTTAAACTATCAGGTATACATTTATATATAAATAACTTTATTAGGCGTTCGATGGAATTTCATTACCTAATTCATCGGCAACGATATAATCAACGCAGAACATTGGTATGGATTCACTTTGTTCCAGATACGAAATACGAGGGTAACGGCGTTTCGATTGCAAAAGAGGAAGAGTTGTTAAAGGATTTGACGAAAACGACTGATGAGAAGTTGGATTTGAAGATGGATACCGTTAAGACGACTAAAGAATCAAATGACAACCGTCATTTGCTGCTATCTCCATCGGAACTTGTTAACGAATGCGGATTAGGATATAATAATGAGGAGAAGAATACATTCAGCTCAGACATTAAGCAGTGGTTAATGTCACCAAAATCTATAGCTTCTAAGAGCACTTCGCCGAGTAAACAGTATGATGCAGATGTTAGCGCGCCACTCCAATCCAAGAGTCATGATTTGGGTTACGCTTGCCCGACGTCACTTAACACCGTCGCAAATCAGCGCGAAACATGGGATGAATTACGCACGATCGAGACTACTGGATCGGGTACTTTCGACTTATTGTCGTACCTTTGGGAGGTACGTTGACACACGGAAAAAACGGTTTAGCTGAAAGTATAATCTCAAAATTTAGCTAGATCTGAAAATAATTTTATTCAACCATCAAAATAATTATAGCGGACGTTCAAACGAGAATGTCAGATTTTTTCAGCTCACGTTTGAGTTTCTTATATAATTATTCTGGGTTGGTTCAATCAAAATTCTTTTGAAACCTGTATATCTATCTAAATTTTTAGATATTTCAACAAAACCATTCTTTTCGTGCATATTTAGCGGAAGTATTTGATCGCCCAATCGTTATAACTGTTCATACAATTTATTCTAAAATTGATTTTTATTACAGGATGAAATACGTTCGCTGGAAAATAATATATCTACCGATTCTTCGGCGATATTGAAAGTCAGACCGCACGCAACAACGTCGTCGTCAGTACGATCATTTACCCCCACAAAGGTAAAAACGGAGGAGATCGACGAACCAGCACCGGCGTCACCGCCACCTTCGCCACGTCGAAGGATGGAGACTCGCGCAACATCGACGATAACCTCGTCCACGGCCAAGTCTTCCGTAACATCGTCTCGAAGATCGGAGAGAAAGAGGGTAGCGACCACTAAAAGCAAAGAGAGAAAGAGAGTCGCTGTCACCAGTACAACAAAGACGAAGGATAAGAACGGGATGAAAAGATATTACGAAGATAGCGATTCCGACGAGGATGTCGCCCTCGTTCAATATAGGGAGTGCCGTGAGAAAAACAATGAGGCTTCGCGAAGATCACGGATGAACAAGAAAGCTAAGGAATCGGAAATGACCAGGAGAGCGACCGATCTGGAAAGGGACAACAAAATATTGAAGATGAAGGTCGAGGAGCTGGAGAAGCTGGTCACGTCGATGCGTAACGCGTTATTACAATCTGCTTTAAAGAAAGAATTTTAAGTACGCGTTATTTAATATCTAGACGTTCTCACGACCTGTTGCGCATAATCTAATTAATCACGTTTGTTACGTCTTTCCATTATGTCATGCATGCGCCATTATTATGCGATGTTTTTTACCACACACGAAAGAGCTGTATGAATTTTAACGTTGAACTTATTTGCCTTAATTGTCTTAATGTGAGGTTGTAAAAGTGTTCTTGAAAGCTTATTATTATCGTTATTTTGATGTTATTTTATTGAGAGACGTTTCTTTTTATTTATCCCGCTTCAGTATATATTCTATATACCGTTACACAATTTAATTGTCCCGACTAAACTAATCGCGAACTAGCGATAGACTAATTGTACGCTGCTGCAAAGCGTTGAAAATATTTTTTTTAAATGTTATCACAATGCGACATTTAGCTTACTGTATGTCGGTACGCTGAAATATATTAAATAAATATTTATTTTGTTATAACAAATGAGAGAAAGAGAGAGATAGAAACACCGGAGTTAGAATTATGTATTTTACGTAATAAACGCACGCACACGCGCGCGCGCGCGCGCACACACACACACACACACACACACACACGTATACTGTACTTGTAAGTTACTTTGTGTATAAGCACTACACGAACGAAGAGCAGGCATATGAGTTTAAATGATAATACTATTATCCAAAAGATTTTAATCCGAACAAAATCACATGATCATATTTTGTTCAGCCTTATATTGTACCTGAAAAAGAAGAGAAGAAGAGCATATAGAATCCTATTGCAGAGAGAAGCATGTATAATTGGTGATACACACGGTTTTCTACTACTTGGTGTGGACTCAACGATGCTGAGTAAACGATACATTGTAACAAGTAAAATCCAATAAAATTCTTTATTTTGAAAAATCAACCCTAGATTCGCACGTCATTCCGCGTGCGCACTGCAAATAGCGACGAGTAAAAATAACAATGGCGTCCTTTATGACTCATTATTTTTCTGTTTTCTTTTGCACGCTATGTCTATTGACGAAGCCAGCCCTATGTCAATTTACGTTAAGAGCTACGGCACGCGAGATATTTCCGTAGATTATTCGCTGAGGACAATTAATAAAATATATATATACAATATGATCGCCGAGATATATGCATATATGGCGATATGTGGATAAAATGCCGCGACGCGACGAGGTGTCGCGAGATAATTATAAAATCGATAGCCATGTATGTGAAACGGTAGCAAATAAATTACCGCTCTGACAGAAATTTAATACTGATAGTGATTAATTACTTATTTTGAATATTAAAAGGACCGTTATTCACTGGTTTTACACACATAAAAATGTATACTGTATTCAAATATTAATTACTTGTTTCAAGTTATTAAAAAAAATTTATATATCCGCAAATCTATAATAAGTCCATCATAATTGCATCAAATTTATTCTAAATATATTTTGAATCCTAATAAATTTAATACTTCAATATTATTTAATACATCAAGATTATTAAACAAATTCGAATTGTTTATTACATGAAGTTGCTTCTTTGACAAAATTTTATATAATATTTTCTTCTTATAAATATACTTAAATAAAACCGTTATTAAGAAAATATTCTTTGTTAAAGATAACAGTTACTTAAAAGAAAAAAAAAACAAACTAAGTAATTACTTTTCTTAATAATGCAATAGAATAACATTTTTCTGTGTGTATATGTATTTATGTAATATTAATATAAATTATTCTACGCAACATACCGATCCGAAATGAGTTGTCAAGTATTTAAACCAAGTACACACAGAGAGAGAGAGAAAAATACATACTGTATTCAAATATTAATTAATTGCTTCAAATAATTCATTTTTTGCAAATCCGTCATAAGTTCAAATTTACAAACATCAAATTTATTCAAAATATATTCTGAATCTTAGTAAGTTTAATAATATATGTATATACTTCAATCAAGATTATTAAATTTGATTTATATTACATAAAATGATTCCTTCGATAAAATCTTGTAATATTCTTCAAAAGAAACTAAATTCTTGTTTTGAGCATCTATGCAGACAATGAATTTTTTGTAAAATTTGTAATAAATGTATTTTGAGACTATATTATCAAGATAATATTTGCTGTTAAAGATTACTCAGAAGAAAAAAATAAACTAAGTAATATAATTTTTCTTAGCAGTAAAATAATATTTTTCTGCTCTGTACTGTAATAGTTGAAATGAGTATAATCTTCAGTATTAAATTGGATTTCTGTAAGGGCGGCTGAATGAATATCATATCCTATTGTGCACGCAACAATGTGCGCCGTAATTTTATTCAACGCCTAAACGAGTCCGGACAATTTCTGCACCGTGCCGCGCGACTTGCTTTCCCAATGGGGGCGATGGCGGGCGAAGGAGGTAAGACCTCTTTCCGCTAATTGAATATCCGGTGTCGCTAGACGACACGGGACCCGCGTGTCCTCCGCGCAAACTGCGTGTCGCGATACGCGTTGCGAATTGATTGACATAATTAACGGCAGGCCGAGAGACACAGAACCTAACCCGATGAAGATTCGCACCTGTGAACCAACTCACTCTTCCGTAGCCCAGTTCCATCTTTCACCCATCGCACATTTATTGCGCTACATAGGATAATCACTGTATAACTTTTCATCTTTTGTTTACAATAAACAGAAGCGTATTATACATCAGATAAGTTTTAACCTGGGTAACTGTATACGGCTATACGCACATTTTGGCACGTTTATGCCAAGAGCACGCAAATATAGATCTATATAAATCTTCAACAAAGCAATGCAAAACATAGTGTATATAGTACTATATAGTCTTGTATTATGTACATATAGGTACTATAAAAACTTGATCGTTTTGCCTTTGTGAAAATTTGTCGAAGCATTTAATTCTGAAGTTACAAATGAATAAAAATAAAACTTTCCCAATTGTATATATCCTTGCTGTTAAAACGATAAAACACTACTTTTTTTTTTTTTAGAAAATTCAAGGGGATTTTTACTTTAATAGAAAAAGCCTATTTCAAGTCTATTCAATCTAAAAATTTAATAGATTATGACAGGAATAGAAACGTTTCTCAAAGGAGAGAAATTTATTTAAAGGAAAAATATAATTGTGATATCCTGCATATCGGACACTGTGTGACCGAAAAAAAAGAGGAACAAAGTCCAGGAAATCCAGCAACTAAAAGAACGGGTCCATTGTAAGAAATATTCAATCGTTAAATAATTGGCGATTAAATGCCTCGGGATCAGATGCATACTTCAATACGTTCGCGGTCGCGGGTGCGTGCATCGATTGCCCGCATTGCTTTCCGCACCCGCATACCGTTAAGTCTGTCAGGACCTACCATGCTATTATTATCCAGAACTACCATCGCATCGCCGCATTCGATTCCAATCTCTCCGATTTACAAATCGGAACACAAACGAATCGTTCTTTCTTATGACGAATGCCTCGACAAAGAAGAAAGTTGGGAAATAAAATAAAACGGACTATAGCGTTCTTTACTACTTAACTAATTTACAAAGTTTCTGTTTTCTACAACATCTAAATAATGATTTTCATGTATTTTTAGCTACTGATAAAGAACATAAGACTAAAAAAAATTAACATTCACATATTTTGAGAAAGCAAAAACGTAATAAAGAATTTTTTATCGCAAAGTATTTTTTATTACATTATTTTATATTATATTTATATATCAAACATCAAATTTTCAATTTTGCTTTATTATTGCCTTATCGGTGTTATATAAACAGTTAGTACACTCTAAATTTCGTGCAGTGAAATCTCACTCCAAGAGAGTGAAAATAGAACCACCCCTGAAAAAAAGTGAAAATATTTCACTTTTTGAAAAAGAGAGAGAAGAGTGACAATTTTCACTTTCAAAAAGTCAGATTTCACTCCTTTGAAATGAAAATTTACTCTAAAAAGAGTGAGAATTGTCACTCTTTTTCAAGAAATAAAATATTTTCACTTTTTTTCAGGGATGGTTGTGTTTTCACTTTTTCGAAGTGTTAGATTTCACTGCAAATTTAGAGTGTAAATATTGATTTCTAAACTAAATTCTGGACTCTGATTATAAACCTTGTGACATTTTAGACCCTTCTTCATTGGAGGTTACTATCCTTTTAAAATATAACATTTTCAGGCTATACATTCAAACTCAAACAAAATTCTGTCTTCCACATATCAGGAATCTCCTAAAATTTTTAAAACTGAATTTCACGATACGAAAATCAAATTATTTTTCTGAGAAACATGAATTTTAAAATTTTAATACCCCTGCAGAATCAAATTCATTTCAATTTCATAAACTCTCAGAAAACATTTCTTTTTTTTCTTTATCAGAAAGCTGAAACTTCTTTATGTGAAATCTTTTCCTCAAACAAAACTGGTTAACAATTAATAAATTTTTCTTTTACTTTACGGAGTAGAATAATAATCTGAGAGACAAAATGATCATTGTTCAGACATGAAAAAACGGAAATCTTGTGTAAATCAGTGTAATTTTTTATATTAAATTTCATTATTTTAATATATTAAAATTGTACATAAATGATAAAACAATAAAACGGGCCTTATACCATAATATTAATTTTCATATATTAAAAAATATTTAAATTTCTTATAGCTATTTCTACACCTAATACATATCGCAAAATAAAGTAACTTTGACCCAGACATACACGTTATCTGAGTATCAGAGTCATGGACTGAAAAGTTTTTTCAGTTCGGTTCCGGTTCCGGTTTAATATCGAATAAACTGTGGTTTAATTTCGATTCCTTGACTAGTGAAGAAAGCCGAAACTATAAAAGTTACGATTTTTTAACAATTTTTTCGGTTATAGTTATTCGCGGTAGGGAAAGAGTTTAAAATTTAAAGTGACTTTTTACTATATTTATTCAATTAAATCGTATTTGTATATTTGGAGAAAAATAAAAATTTTAAATGTGTAAATGTGCAAGGACTCGGATCACAATTGCGATGATAATATACGCGAGTGAGTGAACGAGAGAGAGAGAGAGAGAGAGAGAGAGAGAGAGAGAGGGGGCAAGAATCTTCCAATGTAAAGAGAAAAAAGGTGCGTTCCACTTAACGCCCGCGACGCTTGTGGAATCATTTTATCCTTGTTGTTTATCAAATATTAAACAAGAGCAAACGATGCTTGCGAGCGTTGCGAGCGTTAAGTAGAACGCAGCCAAAGATTGATTCCATTATAATTTCAATATTATAAACTATAGAATTTACATTATTGCATAAGAAATTCAAAGCGCGAATTCCTAAAAACTAAAGAAATGGAATTTTTTGAAAATATCCAGTTCAATACAAAAAGTTGTATAAGAAACACTTACTCCTTGTTGAGAAACAAAATGTTTATCAACACCGGTTACCTTCCATTTAGTGACACAAGTGTCGTTTTATTTTTTTTTGCAATCCATGAGTAACAATAAGACAGAAGAATACTCGTGTCACTAAATGGATTATGGAAGGCATCCATCGATAATCTCTTCGATACCTGCAACTCCTCGCGCGTCACCTCCCATTATATCGCTTCTAAGACTCGTAATTGTTAGTTGGACGACCTAGTTTCATGTTTTCCTTTCGTAGACTATATAGCGACTATCTGTTGACGCGATGTTTACGAGACGCGTCGCATCGCGTCGCCGAAAATCGGGGCGGTTTCAGACGGTTTTAAAAGTCCGCTCGGCGACGCGCGTCACAACTCGGAACTGATAAGGCTGCGCGCGCATCGCGGCCGTTCACTGTTCGACTGATAGCTCAGTACGGTGGTAACAGGTGGTTCGTCGCTATTGGCCGAGCGGCAGCGATTCAAGTGCCTTGCGGCGCCAGCACGTGCGACCGTCGCCGGTCCTGCTGGCCTGGCCGCTCAGGCCGCTGCCGCATTCACACGGAGAACGTCGTACCGCGCGCATCCGGCCTCCACGGGCACTCTGCTGCTGGACTCGCTTCATTCTGGTTCATTCGTTCTTCAACGGCAAGCAGGCAAGCAGAACCTTTGCGCGCTACTGTATCGAATAACCGATAATCGATAGCGGCGCGGCGTGCCAATACTCTGGTTAAAGTTGCGCGTATATAAAGCATTTGCGAAACAGCCGGTTCATTGCGATTCGAGAAGACTCGGCTGACAACTCTCGTCGTGGGTGCGCGGGTGTTGGCTATCGATCCCGCCGCATCGTCCCGCTTTCTTCGGCTCGTTCATTGGCGCAGTCGTCGTCATCGAGACCGCTCGTGTGAGCGAACGATATATGCAGAGTGTTGTGCCTTAAAAGAACATATAATACTTAAAAAAATAGCCTCTGTGACTCCCCGCTCGTCTGACGTCTCGGAGGTCAACCAAAGAGATTATATTCTTTCCTTCCACGTCCGTCTTTCGTTCGGTGAGTAACAATTTAACTTGCACGCGGCTCTACAATCTTCTCCCCTTTGCATCTTCTTTTTTCTTTTTTTCATCAATCTTTGCATACCGCGGTGCTCGCGTGCGCTGGTAGTGCTGGTACCGCTACACGACGGACGCAGCGGGGCGGCCGCGGCGCGACGGATGCAGACCCGGTCACCGGTGCACGTGCACGCGCCACCGCCGCCGAGCCGGCGCTCCGTCCCATCTGGTGCGCTCCGATCCGATTACGACGACCAGATCTATCATCGCTCGCTGCTGGGGCTGGGGTCACTTCACTCCTCGCGCCACGCCGCGCCGGCCGGCCGGGCGCGGTGAATTCCCAAGAGATTGGCTGCGTCCAGCAGAAAAAGTAGCTTTCCTGATGTTGTAACATTCTTTCTTAAAGAAATTTCTAAAATGATTGATTTTTGCTTTTACTTTAGTTCTTCACTGGATCTAAATGTACAAACCAAGCATATTAAAGTATCTCGCAATAGTTGCAAAATTGCTTTTTCCGCTTTTTTTTTTTTGAACGCAGTCATTTTCATCAAAACTGTATCAGAGTATAACGTATTGGAGATCGAAGATTGCGAATTAAAGATCAAAATTTGACTAATCGGATAATTTTAATTTTAATCCGCATTTCATTCTCAAATTGGTCTAATTCTAATCTCCAATTTGCAATCCTCAATCTCCAATGCATGATACAGGCTTCAGTCGCAATGTTGAGGCGAGTGATGCGACGCGCGTGGAATGTGGAGCTCCTCCCGCCGATTGACGAACCCCTCAGGATGATTCTCTCGCAACATCGCGAGAATTGATCCATCTTTGGTCACAACTGTGTGAAATAGTGATTATTAAGCGATAATATTGCAGTAAGAGAAAAACATAGTAATAGAAATTTTTTTTAAGTGACAACTACACAAGTTTTATATTATATAGAGGTAATATATAGTTGAAGAAACTATTCTACAGTTGCAATATATAAAACTTGTGTAGTTGTCATCTATATATGTATAGTTGTTACTACATACCTTTTTCTCGAATTGTGAGATAAAATAGATGGAATAAATTTATCATGTTCGGTGGATCGTATCGCAATCTTTGCTGACAGCGATGCCTGGAATGTTCAAATCATGCGTACCAAAGGTGAAGCGAAACTTTCATCGTACCCTTAGCGATAAAGTTTGCTGAAGATAGTATTTATAAGTTTGACGCATCATGCCGCGATAAGAACGCTTCACGTGCTCCTCGCAATTGCGCGAATCGCGATTGATAGAAACAGTGTTTCTGAAACATGCGGATCTTATATTCTCGTCGGCATCGATCGACGCATCTTTCCTTTTTCTTTCCGGAAATACCAGTTTTGATTAGCATCGACTGCGGTTACGTGGAATCGTTCGCGCGTCGAAAGGTCGGAAAGGACGAAGCCGGATGATTGTATTGGAAGTGACATTTGCGCGAATAAGTCGTGTTCTTTGAAAAAAAAAATGAAAAAAAAGAAGCAAACATCTTGTGAAATACACTTTCCAGTTATACAAAGTGCATGTCAATTACTATCGAATTTGAAAACGTAATTACAAACTGAAGTTGAAATAATAATATTGCCAATGAAATTGATCAATTTAATAAAATTTAATAAAATTGAAGAATAACGGACAAATTATGGTAACCGACTCTTTGAACTACGTCAAAAATAAATAAATAATAAAAGAGCACATATATATGCCAAAACGCAGGTTGTGTTGCACGATTTCTATTTATTTATTTTAAAAAATTACATAAACGTTTCGACTGTTAAATCCAGTCATCATCAGTGCGACATAAATTACCTAACTATTAATCGATAACTTATTCGCAGTGATTGTTAAATTTTACATTCATCTTGCATATAAAATCTCAAAGAGTTTAATAAAACGCACGCATACAAGATCTTTAACATAATTGCATCAAACCTCCTTTTGAAAAACGTAGTTGTCAGTGATGACTGGATTTAACAGTCGAAACGTTTATGTAGTTTTTTAAAATGGATAAATAGAAATCGTGTAACAACAACCTGCGTTTTAGCCTCTATGTGTGTGTGCATGTGTGCGCGCGCGTGTGCTCCTTTATTTATTTTTAAAGAATAACGCACGCGGTGTTACGTCAATATCTGCGAATCAATTATCAGCGGAAGTAATAGAATAGATACGTTCGAAAATAATTTTCAAGCGATTTCGATAGCAATAAGTATATCGCGATATGGCATATGTTACACACGAAATATCGCCAATGTTAAGCAACGGATTGTTTATACGTTATCGTTACGCGGGTATAAATATTTGAGGCGATGCCTTTCACGGAGAAACTGATATATCATTTTCTTGACGTGAAATTTAGAAAAAAAAAGAACAGTAAAAGATTTTTACCGTCTCACTGACGTATACGATGGAAAAAACAATTTTATTAAAGTACCTAAAAATTTAGCTAGATATCAAAAATAATTTTGATAAAATTAGAATAACTTTGGCCTAAATTTTGAAAAATACCTAGATAGCCCGCATATCCAAAATCAGGATATAAGGATATCTTAAAATGTCTTAAAAACGTTTTAAGATATCGTATATGTTTCAATCTTGACATGGGTGCTGTCTGCTGCAGGGTACTATCTAAATTTGGGCCAAAAAGTTACTACATTTTACGTTACAGATTGGAAAATCATTTTGTTTCATTATTAAAATAATTAATAAAATAATTATAACGCGCAAGTTGGAATGTCAACTTTTTGCTCACCATGTTTGAGCGTTCTACATAATTTAACGCACGATGATTTATCTAAATTTCAATCAACGCACCATGTTCTTGCTTAATTTTCAAGATGTTTTCCAAACGCCACGAACTTTTTACATTTTTACTAACTTTCGTATCCAAGTTCAAGAGGTCTACAAAAAGTATTTTTATTTATACATCTTTTTGAGTAAATATCAATCTTTTTTAAACTACTTTCTGATAGCAAAATCATTCTTTCCATATAATACTTATTGTTAGAATAACTCTCGAATGATGCGCACGCTTCAGGAGAGTAGAATAACTGTATTTACATTGTTTAGAGCATAATTAACGTTTTGACCTATATAACTGTTTCACGTTTGAAATAACATGCACGTATTATATACATAATGCTTATTATTGAGGATGTCCTCTCGTGATTATTCGCGTAATTAATTCCGGCACAATTTTGACGATCGAATATATCAATTTATTTAATTCTCGTACTAAAACTATGATGTTGCGATGCCATGTAACATTAGCTTTCAGCAAGAGCCTCACATTCGCGCGAAACTACTTGTAATTCCTTACTTATATGTTTTTTTATCGCGAGAATCATTATATCGCGCGTAAAAAGAATCTATCCGCAGACATGAAAGAGAAAGACTACATATTAGAGTTTAAAGAAGAGAATTTATGTACGTCGCGCCACGTAACGAGGAGCTAATTTCTTTTTCTGATGGTAAGTTGAGGTCGATTAGAGAATTCTCGATGTACCATAAGCCTCTTCCGCCGTGATTTCTGGACTGTTGTGCATGTTATATATTATATGAATGCAAGAAGTTGTTCAGATGAACTTTATACTCCAAGATACTCGGTCGCATTCCAAAATGACTCTCGCGATTTATAATTCCTTATCTAAAGATTTATTTCCGTGCAACGTAAGTAAAAAAGATTTAAAAGATATATTTGCATCTAAATCTGTACTCTGTGTAATCCGTTTCCATTTATTTCAAAATATTACAAATAGAGTATGAAATGATAAGAAACGCATACATAAGAAAAAGAATGATGAATTAGAGCCCACATTGTAACTTCTTTTTACTTACAATTTCGTGATATCGCTCGCGTTACCGTGCAACAGCTCCCCTCTTCTCCCTCTCTTTCTCTCTTGCGACTGCAATGGTATTAGCCCATAAAGAAAGGTCCATTGAACTCGTTAGAACGCATCGCGGGCTGTAATGCAGCTATGCATCATCCCGTAATATAGGACAAAAGATATTAAACGCAAAACCAGCCGCGGCAGATATAATAAGTACGACACGCGCGATACAACGCTGTACGTATGCAACGCTGAGGTCACGGATGCGCACGTGAATGTGTGTTACTTTAATCTATGTGAGCTCGTTTATCGATATATCCGCCTTGCCGGATCAGCATCCAACGTCCGGTGGAATCTTTTAACTAAATACTTACATAAACCTTTCCGGCTTGCCTCTTATCGAACGAGACTTGTACATTATACCTTCGCGCGTTCTTCTCTCTGTTTCTTCTTCTTCATTTTATTTATACTATATTTATAGAAATATATAATCGCGGCGAAAGTGCGATATTCCTCTTATCTCTCGATCTTCTGGATTTAATTTTAAACAAATCACAATTATAACGCTGAATTTATTTTCTTTCATCTTCTGCAAATAGCAAGCTTCTACTTAAATCTTGAACAAAAATTTTAGAGATCTTATCCCAAGGGAGAGACATCCACTGCGAGGTCCTTGAGATATTCTCTCGTTGACGCAATTAATGTAATTAAACGGCATAATCGCGAATCCCTTGCCAATTTAGTAAACGAAGAAGATAATCAACAATATCCGCAATAATGTCAGATGATGAGATTACGAGATAATCTTGGCTTTCAGATACTAACGGAGCTTGCAAGATTATCAAAGAACGCTGTGGATCCTCGTGGCGACGGCATGTCGGAGCTTTAATTTTCTTCGTCCTTCATGGGCAAGTATATACAATGTTCCTCTGACCGACGACGCTCGCATTATCCGGAAAGGTAAAGGAAACGAAATATATACATGATGGCGTTCTACGACGTGGGAACGGGCGACCTCAAGGAATTGTGGGAGTCTTATATCACCGAGCCGCCGGTGAGTGCGCAACCTTTATACATATATAAACTGCTTTTTTGATTCCTAAGAGAAGAGATGGAAATGTCGAGAATTTCATTGTAAAAGAAATATATGGCAGAAACTTTATTTTAAGGACTCTTACAAAAATTTGCTTGGCATTGGTAAGAGAGATTAGTGATTAATTACTTGTATATTTTTAATATTAAAAACACATTGCTCAGTGCTTTTAATACTTGAAATAAGTAATTAATCGTAATGTTTTAAATTATGATCAGAGTATATTAAATTAGAAATTTCTGCACGAGAAAGAGGTAACTATCGCCGCTCGCGAATTTGTTGTGCTTATGTGGCATTATTACTATACAATGTGTTTCTTGAGAAAGTATTTATCTGAAATCTCGAATGTGAAAGGAAGCTCCATTGGGGGATCGTAGGGACGCCTACAGAGCCTTCATAGGGCCGTGCATCCGCAATCCTCCACGTTACTCGAATATTCGTGTCAAATCTCAAGAGACAGTCAGCGGCCAGTAATGCTGTCAAGACATATTATACTGACGCATTCAAGTATATATTTTTAAACACAGTACGAATACCGTTATTTCCGTAACCTTATCTGTTACGTAGTTGGATGGAAATATACGATCGTACTTTACGAGAGATATTCATTTTACAATACTATTTTACAATACTATTCGTAAAAGTGTCTTTTTTATGAGCTTCTTTTTATGTAAAATGCAAGGAACGCTTGCACGTGTTGTGCTTATCAAATTGATTGAATGTCGTCGAAAAATATATTTCCGTTTCTTGCACATTCCTGTGAATGATAACAACTACAATATTTAATAATATAGTGTGATACATTTGCAACGCTTCGATCTTCAAGTGATATAATAACTAGTAAAAGTTAAAATGTAACATTGAAACATGACTGCATTGAAATTCAAAGTAAGATTTTATCAAAGTAAATCACAGTCTAAAGTCGAGTCTCCTTCTTAACTATGTATCTTTTTTCAGTCCCTACGTTTTTAAACTCACTTTAATATCTCCAGTTCAAAGAAAGTCCAACATGACAAGTCTTTGAATGATGAATAATAACGGTCGCGTACTTACACATGCATCGCGTATATTATTATCATTTATCATCGCGCTTATGGTGACACGGTTGCAAGTTGCGCCAATTAAGCTTAAGGAAATGAGGAAACCGACAAATTTACATGATAGCGCCTTGTAGGACATTACGTCACAACACAACGCCGATAATTCTTCCACCGCACCAGTCGGACAATTCGTCGCGTTTATTCTTCGCGACCCTCACCTGATCTATCTACCATCAGTACCATCCTGCGAACGAATTACGAACAGTGCGAACGTGCACGACGGAAACTATTTTTCATCGCGCGCTTGCTTGTTGCATTCGCGACAGCAACAATGGCTGCGCACATGCTCCTTTCATTCTCGCAGCGTGCTGCGTGCGTTCTCGTCTTCGATCGGCCGCGGCGCGCAAAATGGGACACGGTCGCAAATTCCTCGCGCGGCCCTTTCACGGCAGAATTTTCTTTGCAATTTGCACGACGCGTCGGCGTCGCCTCTCTCTCGCGACAAATTAATCCTAATCATTAACGCGTCGCGTCTCTAATATTGTTACGCCTCGAATTGGTGTTTCTCACCGGCGGCGAACAAATACCAATATTACCAATTCACATTCAGTCGTTGCTGTTTTACGCGCCGCGCCGCGCCGCGCCGGACGTGTACTTATTATTGGTTATTGTTCTTCTTATCGGCCGCCCGTAGCTTCACCGAGTAATTTAGCAGGTCTCCGAAGCGACGACGCGATTAACCGACATTTTTATCGTTTCCTAGAAGGTCGCCGATATCCACGTTCGATCCCGTTGGAAATAAAATTCAATCGTCAATCGCGTAGTAGATGCCATCGTCTTGGAGACTCGAGTTAATCTTGCGTCGATTCTTTCGTCGTATTTTTCTATCGAGGACTGTCGAGGATTTACGCAACAACGCTGGGAATTGATAGCAATTTTTCTTTCTTTTTTCTGCATGCATTTGGAACAATGTAAAATTAAAAATCAGGACATAATACGTATTAAAAACATGTTTGAACAAACGTCTTAATCGGGAATAGTGATTTGAGATTTTTTTACGTAAACGATCACATAGGATGTTTTTACACCTCAATTAAAATCACTATTATTGACATTTTATTGCATATAATTGATTATTTTCTGATGTATTAGTATTTAAGAACATTACGGATATGAATTTAATTACAATTTTCTGAAAAAAAAAGTAAAAGACGGTATTTCTAAAAAACAAAGATTTTATATCATTAATATAATACTTTTCTATTGTGGATTTCTAGTATACATTATAGTCTAGTATACATGTACCAATAGGTGAGAGGTAAACCGCTGATCAAAATTGTGTATACCAATGTTTTCTAATGCCCAGTAATGCTCAAGTAACGCCCAATTTTTATGCCTACTAATAATTTTTAAATCTTTTGTATTTTAATGATAAAAAAATAACTATTGATAAAGAAATTTAATTGATATACTTATAGATGCGAGAGGAAAACTTTTGAATCTTATTTTCTACATAACCAATCTTGTTGCCATGTCTTGTTGCCAATGAAAATACCCAATTTTATCATAAAACATTAATCGTAATATTATTTAGTAAAATATATTGTAGAATGTTACAATTTTTCTCTCTCTTAAACGATATTTTACAACAATTCACCTTTTTGTCGCCGCTGCACTGGAGTGTAAAAATATCCCAAGTAACTGTTCTCGGGTTTGAAACATCTTTGCGAGAACAGTTTAAAGTTTGTTCTACAACGTGCTTTTTGTTCCCTGTTTCTTGCTTTTTGCTATTATTTACATCTTGTTTTTTTGCTTTTTATCCGGTTTTTTGTTTTATATCGCCCGAGATAAATGTTAACGGAAGAAACAAGAAATATGTAGCAAGAAATACAATTGTCGATAAAATAGTTGCAAAGGAGAAAAAAAACAAAAAAACAGGAAACAAAGAGCACATTGTAGAAATAGGCTTAAAAACATTTTATGTCCTGATTTAGTGTTAGACTCTGAATTACACTTTGAGTATATCATCACAATCGATTGCTCCTCGCAAACACGAGCAAAAGATTAGCGCCACTCAGGGTGCGGTCGAATTGCCGCTACGAATTTTTTGATTGGTCAAGTGATAAAATTCTTTCTTCTGATTGGTTAATCAAATGCTTCGAAGTAGTGGTAACTCGATCACACCCTCAAACGCGGATTCACAACATTTATAGCATATATATTATATCGTGAAGGATATTGTATTTGGATAGTAAGACATTATAATTGGTGTGCCCACCTGTATAAATATCGCACCATTTCCAGTGTATTTATAAACACGCTTCTCTTGCGAGGAGCCACTCAATTATCGTCGATATATTCAGCCGTTTATAAACCAGACATATGTAGAAATAATATTTTGGAGCATAGAGCAACCAATTCTCTTCTAAATGTAAATTTAACGACGCTTTACGTTCTCGTCAGAATTATTTCTCGGTGAATTTCCGAAATTTTCGAAATATTAATCTTTGAGAAATTACAATATATTTAATGTTATTCCCGGTACTTCAATCATTTGAAATCAAATTGTTTTCAGTTCAGTAGAAAACGCGGGAAAACATGAATGAATTACGGAGAAATGCTGACAAGATTCAATGAAAAGGTTTACTGAATTTCTTTTGCATATATGCTAATAATTATATAACTGACGAATATGCGTAACGCGTCTAAATCTAAAATACTCTAAATAACTCTATGTATATTTTCACAATTCGCAATTCTATATACTAATTACAATTTTATCGTCGTAGCTCTCACATATTTATCACTTTCCAAACAAGTATAGTTGACTGACTCAAAGTAAAAAACAGTATAGTGTCAAAACGATAAAACTATATGTATAAGTTTTATGTGTAGAATTAATGTACGCACACATACACAGTTGAATAAAGTACCATATTTTATAGTTATTACAACTGTAAAATAATTTATTCAATTATTATAGATTAATTTTGTACATTATAAAACTTGTTTAATCGTTACCTTTATAATTGCTTCCATTATATTTTTCTCTGATTGTGAGTGCAGCAATCATTTGGAAACAGGATATTTACTGTTGAGCATATGTTTGCGGTTTACTTCATTGAACAAAGATGATGCTACGTTACATTCTCATTATCTATACGGCTTATGTAACTCGTGATTCGAATTGTTTGAATATAAAAGTCCATGGACCGTAATCATAACGTAATTTTAAAATGTTAATGCAAATATATGTGCACACGTTATTATTTTTCACAATCCAATCAAAAGCATTTATAATTGTATAATATTATAAATATATTTATGCGCATGCACACATGTATTTTTTCTTTTTTTCCGTTATTTATCTACATCTACGGAGCGCCAGCATAAAATTTGACGCGGCATCCAAGATTATACTTGTGTGTATATTCATACTATATACAGTCTCACACATGCATTCGTGTTGATTTTACTGGAAATTTTCAATCAGTACTTGATTATTTCCATATAATAACGAGTTATTAATATGCATCGATATGGTAGTCTGGTTGTAGCGTCATAATAGAAATTGAAAGGCAAATCGGCGGCATGCATGTCTCAATGCTGTCTCATCACATTTAGGGGGTCAGTCCCCTTTGGCAGGAATTACGTCAAGCGGCGGACAGTTGGTCGCGCGCGCAAATATGTCTAGCTAATAAAATCGTTTAAGCCAACGGACTTTTTTTATGAAAGAAAACACGGGAATTCCCGCGTGTTAAATGCAGTTGATAATGGGCCTGGATTAGAAACTGACGTCCGATATTAGAGATATCCAATACTAGAGACGCAAGCTCACCTTATACTTATTATACTCGTCGTCGAATGCACGCCCTTAATGAATCGACCTAATTATAACTGTCACTTACAGCAAATAGATAG